TCAGCCACCCTCCCAAAGGCTTCTGAGGTTTGGAGAGCAGCCCCCTTTCCTTTTGGCCAGACTCTTTCCCCCTTCCAAGACTGGGCATCTGGAAGGTAACGTGTTCCTGAAGAGGGAGGCTCTGCACAAGGCAACAGCAGCAGAGATGGCTGGAAATAAAAAGAGTTGGTCCACTGGCAGCGCCCTCCAAGGACCTTCGGACAAACGGCCAAGGATGGTGCGTAAAGCAGCAAGGAACCGATTAAAAAACCCAGAAATGTAGCATGGTAAATTTTCCTCGGCTTTTCTTTTTGAGTTTGCAAGGAGCACCGCCAGCGGCACAACAAAGGAAGCTTTGTTGGCGGGAGGAAAACAAACACCTTCCTTGTTTTCAAAAGAGAAAGAAACTTTTGGAAAGGAAACAAAAAGTAGAACGTACCTTTTTGGCTTCGGTCTCCCCTTGAAGTTTTTCCAGATCCCCAGCTGGATTCGAAAACACGTCCCTGGGGAGCCACCGCTGGCTTTTTGTTCTTAGCCCGCCTCTCCCTGTAGGTCTTTCCCCAATTAAGGGCGTCTTCATCGCACCCCACCCCCTTGCAACTTCCTCCCCGAAAGGGTGACAGAGAACATTTGCAGCGCCTGGAGGCTATGAGTAAAAATCTTGCAAAGCCCCCGTCCAGCCCTATTTACACAGGCGAAAGGATAGATTTATGCTTGCTATTTCCTGGGAAATTCCCGAGTTACAAAGAAATGCTTTTTAATATATATATTATTTTACATATATGGTATTCAGCTTTGTTCGGGTATTTTCCCACGTCATTGTAGTTGTGCTTTTAAAGTTGTAGCAACATTTCGGCAGAATCTCATCTGCCACCATCAGGCTTCTGTATTGGGTTCGTCTGAATAATGAAATAAAAGTATGTGATAAACGAACACAATACAGAAGCCTGATGATGGCAGATGAGATTCTGCCGAAACGTTGCTACAACTTTAAAAGCACAACTATAATGACGTGGGACCAGGTTGTGCGAATTCCAATATTAGGAAAGGAAATTCTGCTTTTGAATATGGTTTTTTCCCCCCATGTTCTCCTTCCCTGCTTATCCTTCCGGGATACAGGTAGTTCTCCACTTACAACCATTTGCGGAGTAACAATTTGAAGTTGCAATGGCACTGGGGTAAAAAAGGGGGCTTATGACCAGTTCTCGCACTTACAACCGTCACAGGCAATCAAAATCCAGGCGCTTGGCCAACAGTTCATTTCGTTCAAAGTTATAACGGCACTGGAAAAAAGTGACTTATGATAGTTTTTCACACTTAACGACCGTTGCATCCCCCCATGGTCACGTGATCAAGATTCAGCCCCTTGGCAACTGACTCGTGTTTATGACGGTCGCAGCATCCCTGGGGGGCACATAATCCCCTTTTGCGACCTTCTGACAAGCCGAGTCAACAAGGAAGCCAGATTCACTTAACCACGTGGCTAACGGCAGTGATTCACTTAACAAACAGTGGCGAGAAAGGTCATAACATGGGGCAGGGCTCACTTAACCAATGTCTCGCTTAGCCACGTAAATTTTGGGCTCGATTGTGGTCGCAAGTCGAGGAGTTGTGCTGCTTTGTATCGTCTACAATCTAGAAACCAGGTTAAAAAGAAAAGAAAGTTTTTCAGGATGCCAGATCTTCAGAAACATATCAACTTGTTCACACGTTTGAGAGAAGGAAAAAACAAAACAGCTCATGATTTTCACATCTGCTGACATGTAGTCTTGCCTTTCCTTCTGCAAGCCGTCCTCAGCCTTTCTCGAGACTTTTTCATCTAGATATGAACAGCCTCTTATTTGTTTTATTTCTTTTCCCTTTTTTGCACGTAGCAATAGCGAAACACAACCCAGTTTAGCTTTGGGCATCTGATAGGATGCCGAGGTTTGGGGAAAAAAACGAAAAGAAAAAAAAACACAACGTCACAAAGATCGGCTCGAAAAGGCCAGGAGAAAAATGGTGGTAAAATATTAGAAAAACTGCTTCTTGGAGATAAAGACAACTTGCAATTAAAAAGTCCTTTAAACCAGGAGTCTCCAACCTTGACAACTTTCAGACTTGGTGGACTTCAATTCCAAGATTTCTTCCTCCAATCATGTTAGCTGAGCAATTCTGGGAGTTGAAGTCCACAAGTCTGAAAGTTGCCAAGGTTGGGGACCCCTGCTTTAAACTTCCATCGACTTTATACAACTCCAGTTGAATCAAGTCGATGGAGATTTAAAGGAGCAGCTTTTTTCCCCCCCTCAAACTTGGCTGCTTTAAAGAAGGGTGGACTTCAACTCCCAGAATTCCCCAGCTATCATGGAGTTGAACATCACCCCCTCTTTCAAACATGCTGGCCTGGGGGATTCTGGGAGTTGAAATCCACCCTTCTTAAAGCGGCCAAGGTTGAGAAATAACCACCCTAGGCTAAACAAGTCACATATAAAAATGGGGTTCTTGTGTGTGACAGATTCATGCAAATTGCGATTGTTTTGCAAGCAAGCTGTCTTGTAGGAATTGGCACCGTGGTTCTTTGTGTGGGTTGTGTTCCCTTGCTCGACTTCCTTCTTTACAAACACAAAAACATTTGCCTGTTTACAAGCTTAGTTCGTTCCTTGAGATGCCGGATAAGCAAAAAAAAACCAACAACCCCAATTTTACTTCTATCTCTAGCGCCCTAGTCTTTTTCCTTAAATTAAACCAAAACCTGCAGCTTGGGCCCTCTATCCTTGATACTTTTAGCCTTTCGACTGATCTCTTTTGAACTTAGCCAGCATTGTTAGTCACCCCACCAAACACGGGCAAAGATGGTTTAAGTTAAGCAAACTTCTCTTTATGAAGATCACCCGTCGAATTTTGGACACGTTTCTTTGCTCTTTCCCAATGGGGGGGCTCAAAGGGTTTGTGCTAATTGTGGTTTAAAACATTTTGGTGAAAAACTTTTTAAAACCCCGGTCGCCAAGCTGCCGGTTTATAATGTGAGTAGTAAGCAGGATCGTTTTTCTTCCGTTTCCTCTTTTTTTTGGAGGGGGGGGAAGGAAAGGGGTCACACAGTTACTGCGTGCTCGCTCTCACAGGACGGGTGGATCTGGCCCCTGCCTTCACCCTGTGTCGCAACTGGGATTTCTTTAGCTGAATAGAAGGGGTGGGCGCAGAAAGTGGTGCAAAAAAAGGGGAAAAAAAGGATCCGTAAGTGCTGCTGACGGAAGCGTGGGCAGACGTGGACCGCGTGAACTTTTGTGGGTCGAGATTGCCGCATTTGGGTTGTGTCTGTCAAGAGACGCCCCCTCCTCACGCGTCTAGTATGAGGAAAACCAATTCTTAAGAAGGGGGAGGAGGGCAGGTGATAGCAAAATCAGCCAGTTTTGGTCTAGGGGTTAAAAAGGCACCAGGTTGGAAACTGGGTGACGGCGAGTTCTAGTTCCGCATTAGTCATGAAATCTGGCTGGGTGACTTTGGGCCAGTCACCAGGTCACAGTGAGTTCTAGTCCCATCTTAAGACATGAAACCCTGGGTGGGGAACTTTGGGACAATTACCAGGTGACGGTGAGTTCGAGTTCTGTCTTAGGCATGAAAGCCCGCTGGGAGACTTTGAGCCAATCACCAGGAGATGGTGAGTTCTAGTCCCGTCTTAGCTATACTGGGTGACTTTGGGCCAATCACCAGGTGACAGTGAGTTCCAGTCCTGCCTCGCTTAACCCATGTTTCACTTAGCCACAGAAGTGTTGGCCTCGATGGTGGTCCTAACTCAAGGACTGTTATTTCACTCTCCGACCAGTGCAAATGAAACCAGTGGCTGTTATCAGCCCTTGTCAGAAACAAGCGAATCTCCAACGTATTGATTTTCCAACAGTCTGAATCAAACTTTTCCAGGAAAGGATGTGAGAGAAACAAACGGGGGGGAGTGGGACTAAAAATAAACACGGCCCCAGAATCTGATTTAAGTAGCCTGAAAACCAAGCCGCCATTTGCATCTACAACCTATATCTAAAAATGTCGAGAAACGCAGAGAGGAATGTAATATGTGACGTCTTGCCACACAGACGTTTCGCTGGCTGCAATTCCAGAGAAATTCGGAAAGCTGATGCAACGTTTCCAGATTGCACAACTCTGCCCCCAAATGCTTTTAATCACCCTCTTGAACTTAGGAAGTCTTAGGAACTTTAAAAGATGATTACAATCTTCCAGGAGTCCAGCAGGACAGAAATACTTTGGAGTAACTGCAGTTATTCTCACGGAAAGCAGATTAGGAAAAAAAAAAAGAGGGGGAAAATAATTTTTTAAAAAACTAATTAAGGAATCCTGTGAAAAAAGGTCTGATTGCAGAACATAAAGTTTTAGTGCCAAATAGGAGATGAGCAACAGCTGGAAACAAAATGGGTCTCTCTCTAAAGTTTCTTGATTGCCCAATTCTGAAGAGATCAACCCTTTTTTTCTGAATGTGGAGATTTTTCACCCCATCAAAGCAGGATTTGGATCATTTAGACTACACCCAAAACTTTTCCTTTCTCAAGATGCTATTCAGGTAGTCCTCGACTTACAACTTGCTTAGTAACTGTTCCAAGTTTCAATGGCATGGGGAAAAAACTGACCTTACATTTTTCAGACTTATGACTGTTGCAGTCTCCCCGTGGCCATGTGATTAAAATTCAGACAGCTTAGCAACTGGCTCATATTTACGACGGTCGCAGCACCCTGGGGTCAATGATCCCCTTTTGCAACCGTCTGCAAAAAGTCAATGGAGAAGCCTGATTCACTTAACAACCGGTGTGATTCACTTAACAACCGCAAGGGACTCCCTGAACGATTGTGGCAGGAAAAAGCCGTAAAAAACTCAAACGTCTCACTTAGTGATAGAAAATGTTGGGGCTCAACTGCAGTCATAAGTCAAGGACTACCTGTAACAGACCCACTTTATCTCCGCTATCTGCGTTTTATTCCGAATTGAAGGGAGGAAAAGAGGGGACTCTCAAAGACCTGCATTTTGCTGTTTTTTAATTTTATTTTATTGGATGTGCAGGAGACCAAAATAAAACCGTAGCCTCACAGCCGAACGAAAAACTTGGGAAAACGAGTGACGAAGCTCGCCGGGGCCACAGCTGCTGGCCGAGAGAATCGAAAACTGCAAAGGGGGGGTGGTGGAAGAGGGGGGGAAGAGGGGGGGAAACCCCCCCCAAAAGAAAAGAAAATGGCAGCTCACAACAGGGAGGTATAACTGAGACAGAGCAACAGGCCGAGACGATGGACGAAAGCCGGTTTCCCCGCGCCCCCGGTGCCGAATAGGGTGGATGGTTGGTACGAGCACGCATGTGGGGGAGGCAAAAGGCCGGACACGTGGGTCTCCGATGGGTGAGTCTCTCTGCCTTTTGCCGAGGCGATGGTCCCGAGACTTGGACCCATTTCATGGAGGAAGTCCATCAAGGCTGCCCTTTTTTCTTTTCCAACCGGGGAGGGGAAGTGATGAAGGATGGTCAGAATCATCACCGGATGGCGATCAAGCCAACATCCATGAGCTTCTGGATCTTCTGAGCGATGACGGGGTTTTTCAAGTGTCTGCGGGGAAGGGGGGGGGAGGAGAGACAGTCAGAACAATTAATCAGTGGAACTGCCTGCCTCCAGAAGGTGTGAACGCTTCCAACACTGGAAGTTTTAAAGAAGAGATTAGATAACTATTTGTCTGAAATGTTCTAGGGTTTCCTGCCTAAGCAGGGGGTTGGACTAGAAGACCTCCAAGGTCCCTTCCAACTCTTCTATTCTATTCTATTCCTTATTCTATTCTATTCCTTATTCTATTCATTCTTATTCTATTCTATTCATTCCTATTCTTATTCTATTCTATTCTCCATTCCATTATTCCATTCTACTCTATTCTATTCCTTATTCTATTTATTCTTATTCTATTCTATTCATTCCTATTCCTATTCTTATTCTATTCTCCATTCCATTATTCCATTCTACTCTACTCTATTCATTCTTATTCTATTCTATTCTATTTTCCATTCCATTATTCTATTCTATTCATTCTTATTCTATTCATTCTTATTCTATTCATTCTTATTCTATTCTCCATTCCATTATTCTATTCTATTCTATTCTATTCTATTCATTCTTATTCTATTCTATTTTCCATTCCATTATTCTATTCTATTCATTCTTATTCTATTCTTATTCTATTCTATTCTCCATTCCATTTTCCTATTCTTCTATTCTATTCTATTCTATTCTATTCTATTCTATTCTATTCTATTTCTTATTCTATTCTATTCTATTCTCTATACTCTACTCCCTTCCTATTCCTACAGCGGCTGAGGAAAAATCCTATCTACATCCCTTAGCAAAGCCACTTGGTGAAGACCAAGGCTCAGGATCATCTAACTGAACTTTTCTCTTACGGATTTCCCCAGCTCTGACTCACTCGCTTAGCGCCTGGGGATCCTTCTGCATCTGTTCCAGGATCAGCCGCATGGCTGGATCGCTCATGATCTGCTGCACCTCGGGATCGGCCATGGCCCGGCGTTTCACGTCCTCGGGGTTGTCGTTGCGATTGTACTGGGACATCAGGCAGCGCTGGTAACCTTCGGCCGCTTCCTGTAGAATTGCATCCGGGATAAAGGGGGAAAAAAATGAGGACAATCGTTGTAAAAGGCTCATATCAACGCGCAACGTTCCCCGTTTCTGCATGTCAGGGCACATACAGGTCGTCCTCGACTTACGACCACCACATTTCTGGGGCTGAGGGAGAGCCTTGTGGAATTTTGCCCCGTTTTATGACCTATCTTGCCACCAGTTGGTTCGGTGAATCACGGCGGTTGTTAAAATTAGTAACGGCCGTTAAGCAAATCCGGATTCCCCCAGCGACTTTGCTTGTCAGAAGGTCGCAAAACCAGAGTCACGTGACCCCGGGGATGCTGCAACCGTCATAAATACGAATCAGTGGCCAAGCCTCCGAATCTAGACCACGGGGATGCTGCAAACAGTTGTAAGTGTGAAAAACGGTCCTAAGTCACCTTTTTTTCAGTGCAGTGGTAACTTTGAACGGTCACCAAATGAACTGCTGTAAGTCGAGGACTATCTGTAAATGCTTATCCTTTGGGACTACAGAGGATAAACGGGCCACCCCTCTGCACCCTCTGCCCTTCTTCCTGCTAGGGGTGTTGTTGTGGCCTTTCGGCCTCCAGCTCCTCCAGCAGACGAATCAGAGGAGGAGGCGTGGGAGTCAGCGTCAGGGCAACCTGAGAGCTCCGAGGGGGAAGAGGAAATAGAGCTGTCAGAGAGAGAGATGCAGAGGCGGAGCCAGGGCTGTCCGTCAGCCCTCAGATGGAGAGTCAACAGACCCCAGGTCTGGAGGTGGCTGAGGAAAAGGAGGAACAGCCGGGTCCAGTGCCTGACGCACAGAAAGAGAGAGGAGAGGAGAGCAGTGGAAATCTATGGGCCGGTCCTTGGGACAGAAGAGCCAGGTCTGGAGGTGGCTGATGAGGAAGAGGAGGAACAGCTGGGTCCAGTGCCTGACGCACGGCTGCGCAGAAAGCAGAGGAGAGGAGAGCAGTGGAAATCTATGAGCTGGTCCTTGAGATGGAAGAGCCGCCGCTAGCAAAGCCCCACCCTAGCTCTGGGGATAAAAGGCAGGGGGCGGAGATGAATAAGTTAACGGACTTGTTAACCTGTGGTGAGAGAGAGAGAGAGAGAGGGAGAGAGAGAGAGATGGAGGCGGAGCCTGAGCCGTCCGTCAGCCCTCAGATGGAGAGTCAACAGACCCCAGGTCTGGAGGTGGCTGATGAGGAAGAGGAGGAACAGCCGGGTCCAGTGCCTGACGCAGAGAGAGAGAGAGGAGAGCAGTGGAAATCTATGGGCCGGTCCTTGGGACGGAAGAGCCAGGTCTGGAGGTGGCTGATGAGGAAAAGGAGGAACAGCTGGGTCCAGTGCCTGATGCACGGATGCACAGAAGGCAGAGGAGAGGAGAGCAGTGGAAATCTATGGGTCGGTCCTTGGGATGGAAGAGCCACCGCTGCTAGCAAAGCCCCACCCTGGTTCTGGGGATAAAAGGCAGGGGGAGGAGATGAATAAATGTGGTAGACAACTATTCATCGCCCAGATGGATGGCCTTGTTAGCCTGTGGTGAGAGAGAAAGTTTTTTTGCTGGGGCTGCCGGCACTCCTAATAAAGGAATCTATTTATAGAGTTCACGTCAAGAGGATTTGTCGAGTTTGTTGAGCCGGGTCAGAACAAGTGTGTCCTCACCTTGCAATTTGAGTCCAGCTCCAGCGCTTTCTGATAGACATCCATCGCTTTGGTGTAATCCTTCATGGCTTCCAAAGCCGCCGCTTTGCGCGTGTAGCCTTTGACTGCGAAAGCAAAGAGGAACGCCGTCAGCTTCAGAAAAGGCGGGGCGGCCATTTGCTCCAGATTTTGCTTCCCCCTCCCCCACCTTCACTCAAGAGCCTTTCTCAAAAGAATGAAGTCAATGCTTCTCAACCTTGGCTGGAGATGGAGACTCCAACTCCCAGAATTCCCCTGCCACACCTAACACCCCTACAGATACCCGGAGAGTCCAGAGTTTCAAATTCATCTACTTACTGAACGCGGGTTCTAAACGGATGCACTCCTCGCAATCCTGCGGAACGAAGAAGGCGTTTTAAGGACACTTTCTCAGAAAAATATATATATATATTTCCCTTCCTCTTGTCCATCCTAATAGGACCTTGCTAGCCAGCTCTTGAGAAGAGCACGTTTGGATGGTTTTTCTGCATTTGTAGGGAGGAGAGTTCAGGTGTGTGCCTCCAGGATTTTAAATTCGAGATGGGCAACCTGATTTCTCCCAGATTTCAGACTCCAACTCCTGTGATTCCGCATCCCGGGGAATTTACACGTAGCCCTCCACTTACAACAGTTCATTTAGTGAACGTTCAAAGTTACAACAGCACTGGAAAAAAGGGTCTTTAGGACCGTTTTTAACCACGACCGTTGCAGCGTCATTCCCCCCGAGAGTCATGTGATCAAAATTCAGGTGCCATAAATACTGTATATGCCAGTTGCCAAACGACGGTGGAGACACTGCGACGGTCGTAAGCAGAAGAACTAGTCATAAAGTCACTTTTTTTTTTGGAGCATTGTTGTAACTTTTGAGCGGTCATTAAACGAATGGTTGCACATTGAGAACTACCTGGAATCGGACGGATCTGGTAAAACAGCGTTCAGATTATAAACGGGAAACATGGCTAGCGCTCAGCTTCAGATTTGAAAAGAAAAAAGTCTTTTAACATGTTAAGTCTTTTAATCTCTTTTAACAAGACCACATTCGGTCAGCCAATTTTGGTCACACTACAAAAAAAAAAAAAGGGCGTTGAGACTTTGGAAAAAGTTCAGAGAAGCGCAACTAAGACGATCAAAGGCCTGGAGACTAAAACATACGAAGAACGGCTGCAGGATTTGGGTCTGGCTAGTCTACAGAAAAGAAGAATTAGGGGGCGACAGGATGGCAGTATTCCAGGATTTGAGGGGCTGCCACAAAGAAGAGGAGGGGGGTCAAATTATTCTCCAAAGCACCCAGAAGGCAGGACAAGAAAGAATGGATGGAAACTAATCAAGGAGAGAAGCGACCTGGAATTATGGAGAAACTTTCTATCAGGGAGGACAATTAACCAGTGGAACAGCTGGCTACCAGAAGTTGTGGGTGATCCATCACTGGAGGCTTTTAAGAGACTGGACAGTCCATTGTCTGAGATGCTATAGAGTCTCCTGCTTGAACAGGGGGCTGGACTAGACGACCTCCAAGGTCCCTTCCAGCTCTATTCTACATCTCCCTGGGTCTTTTTGGCATGCTAGCTTTCTGCGTGCGGCTTCTCCCCGAACCACGTGGGGCCAAGATGCTCACCTTGAGCGCTAGCTGGAACTCCAAGAGTTTGGTGTAGCAGGCTGCTCTGTTGCTGTACAGTTTGGCATCGCTGGGGTTACGTTTGATCGCTTCCGTGTAGTGCTTCATGGCCTGCGGATAATCGCCTGCGGGAGAAAAAAAAAAACTCTGTCACTGGGCGGACGGAGCCTCCAGATTCCAAGGCAGTATATCTTGGAATAATGAGTCTTTGGGGAAAAATAATTCTGGCTGCACCTGCAGGCTTCCCTAAAGGAAGCAGGTGGATTAAAGGTGGAGAAATGAACTGGATTCAGGGCATAATTCAGCAATACATATATATATTTTTCTCCAGCAATTCATCCCATCATTCCGCTGGTAGGAACTGCACCTTCCTACAGCATGGAGGGAAGTCCAATCTTGCCAAATTCTGCCCATTTCTGCATTAGGCCGCGGTTTTAAGCGGCTGGCAAGAAAACACGTGGCCTAACGCAGGGCTTCTCCAGCGTACCAAATTTCGGAGCTGTTTGGACTTCAACTCCCAGAATTCCCCAGCTGGCGTGGGAGTTGCCACCCGCACAGATTAGAAGTTGCTGCGGTTGGTCTAGTGATGTGTTAGGAGCAATTTTAACTCCAGTGGGGGAGAAGTGGATTAAGTCCAGGAAGGTTTTGACACGGGGGCAACTTGCAAAAGACCAAAAAGAGACCCAATGCAACTTCGTCACCTCTCTGGAAACATTCGTTGCCTTTGTTCTTTTCTTCCAAAGCCAGCTCGGGATTGATGTATGCCTCCCTTGCTTGTTCTTTTAAGATTTTCTCAGCCTGGGGAGAAAAGAAGTTGAAATGTTTTTCCACCCAGGAACAAAATCCGGTAGGAAGGAGCCAACGGGGTGGCGAGTTCTAGTCCCACCTTAGACATGAAAGACAATTGCGTGACTTTGGGCCAATCACCAGGAAACAGTGAGTTCTAGCTCCAACTTTGGCCCATTCTGGCCCAGTTCCTTTCTCTCTCAGCCCAACTCACCTCACAGCGTCGTTGTTATTGTGGAGAAAAGAGAGAAGGGAGGAGTACTAGGCCCGTTTGCTGCCTTTCTAAGAAATAATAACGGTGGGATATACTGCAAATAGCTAAAAAGAGGAGCTGGAAGAGGCGGGTGCTGCTGGGGAGTAAAAATAACGAGTAAAACCCTTATCGAAACCGCCAGAGTTACAGACTTGACTGTGGGAACTGCTTGCCTGCTGACATTTCTTCAGAACCTCTGGAGTCCGGTGTTCAGCCAGAGACTTGTTGTAAAACTGGGTGGCTTCCTTGTACTTTTCTTCCTTGAAGTAGGAGTTCCCAATTCGGGCGTAAGCTCTAGACACACAAAGACAATCACAACAACCATAGTCATCACCCACCTATCTGGAACGGAGAGCGGAGAGAGTCCTCAGGCCAGCGAAAACGCTCGTCCCACCTGTTGAGGGACAGGCCTGGAAGGCAGCAGGACGGGGGTGACCGATTCCGTCCTTGGAAGCTTAAATCACAGGGCGGTGATTGCAATAGCCCTTAGACGTACATGTCGCTTTATAGGGCTTTATCGCCCTCTCTAAGTGGTTTACAGAGTCAGTGTAGGTAGGTAGGTAAGAAGGAAGGGAGGGAGGGAAAAGGAATAACAATAGCACTTAAGACTTATATCCTGCTTTACAGTGCTTTTACAGCCCTCTCTAAGCGGTTTACAGAGTCAGCCTCTTGCCCCCCAACAATCTGGGTCCTCATTTTACAGACTTCGGAAGGATGGAAGGCTGAGTCAACCTGGAGCCAGTCAGGATCGAACTGCTGGCAGTCGGCAGAGTTAGCCTGAAATGCTACAATTCTAACCATTGGAAGGGGGAGGGAGGGAGGGAGGAAGGGTGGAAGGAAAATAGCAATAGCACTTAGACTTATAAACCGCTTTATAGGGCTTTATAGCCCTCTCTAAGTGGTTTACAGAGTCAGCGTAGGTAGGTAGAAAGGAAGGAAAGGACAAGGAAGAGGAACAGCAATAGCACTTAAGACTTATATACCGCTTCACGGTGCTTTTACAACCCTCTCTAAGCGGTTTACAGAGTCAGCCTCTTGCCCCCAATAATCTGGGTCCTCATTTGACCCACCTCGGAAGGACGGAAGGCTGAGCCGACCTTGAGCCTGATGAGATTCAAAGTGCCGAATTGCAGGCAGCCGGAAGTCAGCAGAAGTAGCTGCCGCAGGACTGCAATCTAGCGCTTCGGGGAGGCTGCCAGCTTTCAACGGACAGTTCAATTAATTCGGAGGCGTTTCATCCGATCTGAAGTAGGAAGAGATCTCCCATGGTTTGAAAGCCTGGCGAACTGCAGCCACAATTGCGGCCAAAATTTCCGTGGCTAAGGTGAGGCCTTCACTTCTAAGTGAATAAGTGAATTTCCTCCCCCTCCCACCCTTTTGACGACCTTTCTTGCCAGTTCAATCCTGATGGCTCAAGGCTGACTCAGCTTTCCATCCTTCCAAGGTGGGTAAAATGAGGACCCACTGTATGTTGTCAAGTTAGTGAGACGGTCGTTAAGTGAGTCTGGCTTCCCCGTTGACTTGGCTTAAGGGGCATCGCGTGACCCAGGGGCTCTGCAACCGTCATAAAGACGAGTCCATTAGCCAAGTGTCTCAATTTTGCCCATGTGACCATGGGGGGAAGCTGCAACGGTCACAAGTGTGAAAAACGGTCCTAAGTCCCTTTTACCAGTGCCGTTGTAACCTCAAACGTTGTAAATCAAGGACTAGCTGTGTTTATTATCCGCCTGAGCAGAGGAAATGCCCTGTCCAGACCCGGCTGCAACTCATTAAGGAAGTCCTTGATTTACGACCGGTCACTTAGCCACAGCGTCAAGTTGCAACTAACTCACACAAAACTTATGTACAACCTGGATTTGGAGTTGGGATCCCCTGTGGTTACGTGATCGGGGTTTTTTGGGGTGGGCGGGTGCCTTGCAATTGTCTCGCATTGAAGACCATTTGCAGCATCCAGTGGTCACACAACTATGATTTAGATTGGAAACCAGCATTTATTTCCAGATTTTGGAGGGGGGGGGAAACACATCCCACTGCAAAGGATTCACTTAATGACGTTCAGTTCAGAACCAAGCTGATTTGCTTAACAAAAAAGCAAAAATAAAAGACCATGAAGCCAGGTGGGAGTCATCCATTTAATGACTGGCACAATTTAGGATTGTAATTCCAGGCTCAATTCCAGGTCGTAAATGGAGGCAGATTGTGATGTAAAATTTAAGCGCGTCTATCTTTTCATCCCGAAATGGGAGCTAAGCCAATTCTGGTGCCAATCCAAACCAAGGGAGGTTCCAGCAAAGCTTGACAAGCAACCGGAATGTTCGAGAGGCAACTTAAAAAATAACAACAAATTAAAACGGGGATCGCTCTGAGAAAACCATCCCGGGAATGCTGGCCACCTACTTGGAAATCTGTCGATAATCTTCCCGGTTCTCACGCCCCACCTCGATGGCTTGTTCACACAGTTCTCGGCACTGGTTGTAATCCGCTTTTTCAAAATATACCGCTGAAAGCCGAGGAGAGAATGACAAAACACACATGGAGACAGGTGTGAAAACAGGCGGGAGAACTACAGCAGAGGTGGACAGTGGGGAGGAAAAGGGACCAGTCCGGGAGTCGGGGGAGGACTCGGACGTTGGGTCCTGCATCCGAGGCAGAGATGGGGCCAGGACCATCAGGGAGTTATGGGCTGACTCTGGAGCTTCCAGAATCTGACAGCGGCGAGGCAGAGGAACAAAGGCAGCCTGTTCCCAGTGCGCAAGTGCGCAGAGCTGCCAGAAGGCAAGAGCAGCTAAGACGAAAGGGGTGACTAAGGAGTAAGGCTGGGAGGTGATTGCCCCTCCCATAAGGTATAAAGGACAGGCAAAGGGACAGGAATCTTTGCAGGAAGCAATGTTGTTCACTCTGGTCCGATTAAAACCTCGAAGCTCTGTGTGGACTTTGTACTTCAGTTGGCTTTTTAACTGTTCATTTGGCACTTTAGTTGTTGGCAGCGATTCAAAGGAGAGAAAGGTGGGTGCTTATCTCGAGGAACTGTTTGGGACTCATTACAGGCTGGAAATGAACATAATTCCCAGCGTTGAAATAAAACAAGAGTTGTTTGGACTAAGCATGTGCTTAATTAAGGTCTCAGGAAGCCTTGGTCAGAACAAAAGTCTTGCTTTCTATCCACTAGCTGGGTGAGGCTGATGGGTTTTGGGATCCGACCCCTGAATGGCCACGCAATAGCAATCCCGTATAACAAAACTAACACCTCCACGTACGCTTATCTTTGGGATGCTTCTTCTGGGTGCGGGGGGGAGATAAGGCCTGGTCAGTGATGGTACGGGCAGTCCTCGACTTACAGCCATTCGCTTAGTGACTGAAGTTACAATGGCAGTGAAAAAAAACTGACTTTACGACCGTTTTTCACACGTACGACCGCTGCAGCTTCCCCAGGGTCAAGTGACCAAAATCTGGATGCTTGCCAACTGATTCACATTTATGACGGTCACAGCGTCCCGGGGTCACGTGATCCCCTCGAGGCCTTCTGACCAGACTGAGACCAGATTCCCTTCACAACCAGGTGACCAATTTAACAACTTGTGGCGATTCGCTTAGCAAATGTGGCAAGACAAGTCGTACAACGGGGCAAAACTGACTGAACGTCTTGCTTAGCAGCCGAAATCTTGGGCTCAATCGTGGTTGTAAGTCGAGGACTACCTGAACTCCATCATGCCCACCACCCACAGGCCTGCCTGATGCCTAAAAACTTGGTGCCCAGGGAGCGTTTTGTCCAGAGTATTCTGCAAATAAATGACCTACCCAGAAACAAGAAAGCCCAGATTGTTCTATTTTAATAAAATTCCTGGGTTCACCTCCTCTTTTTATTTCCTAGATTTTCAATAGTTTAAAACATGTAATGGAAACAAGAACAGCTACTTAATTGTGCAGTTATTCCTCAAGGGACTTAGCAGAATTTTCTAGCGTCAACCTGTTGTGCTGTTTTAAACCCGTAGAACGGAATATTTGTAGCTCAGGGCTGAACTGTGGAGTCCTCAGTGCTCTCTGAACTTGGCCGTTTTCTTGCAGACATTTCATGACCCAACTAGGGAACGTCATCAGTGCTAGAAGGGAGAGGGGGGGGGGTCTGCTCTCTTTTTAAACCTGCAAGCTTGTCCCCCGTTCTTCCACCCACCTCACCTGCTTGGTTAGTAATGTAAGTCATGTTGGTTGGATCCAAATCTTTTGCTTTGTTGTAATGTTCCAAGGCTTTTTCGAAGTCTTTCTTCTTATAGGCCTCGTTGCCCAATTCCTTTTCCTTCAGGGCCTGAAAATCAGCAGATGCATCCTGATTAAGGAGATTTTAGACTGGTTTGGCAGAAAATTCAACACAAATCATTGGTCCTAGTAAGGAGTTATCAGCTTTCCCTGCTGGCTACCCACTACCTGAGAATCAGAATAGAGATACCTGAAAGCCTTCCTTCTTTCCTTCCCCTTCCCCTCTAGTTTTCTTCCTTCTTCCCTTCTCTCCCTCCCTTTTCTTTCATTTCTCTTTCCTGTCCTTCAATTTTCCTTGTTGCGTCCTTCCTTCCTCCCTCCAATTTTCTTACTTTCCTTCCCCTCTAATTTTCTTCCCTCTTCCCTTCTCTCCCTCCCTTTTCTTTCATTTCTCTTTCCTGTCCTTCCATTTTCCTCATTGCTTCCCTCCTCCCTCCCTTTCTAATTTTCTTCCTTTCCTTTCCTTCCCCCTCCTTTCTAATTTTTTTCCTTTCCTTTCCTTCCCCTTCCTTTCTAATTTTCTTCCTTTCCTTTCCTTCCCCTTCCTTTCTAATTTTCTTCCTTTCCTTTCCTTCTGCCACCAAATCGCCGGAGAGCAGTACCTGCTTCTTGTTTTCCGGCAGATCCTCCTCCATGGGTTCTGCTTTGGGCTCTTTCTTGGGGGGTGGAGGAGGCGGGGGAGACATGGCTTCGTCTTCATCGTCGGCGCTGGCCAAGTCCACGCCAAGCAGCACTCCGAGCGTCGTCATCACCCGGGGGTCCTTCAGTTTTCTGTTACCCAGCAGGGAGACAAGGAGGGTTCGAGAAGCCCAGCCTGAGCCATTCAGGACGTGCCCTTGGCAGGCTGCCCCAGTGCAGGAAGCCAGGCTTTAACGTGGTTTGAAGAACAGGCAAAACCTGGCTGGATTTCTGCAAGGGCTACTTTTATTTAGACACACACACACACACACACACACACACACACACACAGTGTATAATCTTCCCAATCTGATTTTGCTGCCTTTTCTCTCTCTCTCTCTCTTTTATAACCAGGTGAGTTAGGGAACTATAATCCTCAAAGCTATGCCTTTGAGCAGCCGGAGTGGCCGTGTGAAAGCATGAAGATTAGTATTAAATTAGTATTAAAATAATTAATTCAAATTAAATTATCGCTTGATCAGTAGAATGCCTCCAGACGTTGTGGGTGGTTCATTATTGGAGGCTTTTAAGAAGAGACTGGACAGCCATTTCTCTGAATACAGGGTGTCCTGCAGGAGGCTCGACTAGAAGTCCTCCAAGGTCCCTTCCAAGTCCCTTATTCCTTTATTCCTCCCTCCCTCCCTCCCTCCCACTGGAGCTTTTCAACAAGAGATTGAAGAACCATTTGTCTGAAACGGGATAGGGTTTCCTGCTTGAGCAGGGGGTTGGACTAGAAGACCTCCGAGGTCCCTTCCTGCTAGGGATAAGTTATCCCCAGTAGAATAACTTATCCTTATTCTACTAGCTTTCCTTCCTTCCTTCCCTTCCTTCCTTCCTCCCTTAACTTCTTTCCTTCCTTCCCTCCTTTCTTTCCTCCCTCCCTTCTTTCCTTCCTTCCTTCCCTTCTTCCCTTCCTTCCTTCCTTCCTTTCTTTCCTCCCTCCCTTCCCTTCTTTCCTCCTTTCCCTTCCCCTTCCCCTTCCCTTTCTTCCTTCCTTCCCTCCCTTCTTTCCTCCCTCCCTTCCCTTCTTCCCTTCCTTCCTTCCCTTTCCTTCCCTCCTCCCTCCCTCAGTTTTCAAGAAGAGATTGGACAGCCATTTGTCTGAAACAGGACAAGGTGTCCTGCTTGAGCAGGGGGTTGGACTAGAAGACCTCCGAGGCCCCCCTTCCAACCCTGTTATTCTGTTACTACCCTGAAGCTCCTTGATGGAACTCCAGGGAAGTCCCAGAATCTTCCTTCTCCAGGAAGATCCCGAACAGCAGCAGCAGCAGCAGACGGATTCCCGCACGAAGGGACTCTGGCTCCGACGGAGGAAGGCGCCACCCTGGCTGGGGAGGGATCAGCCCCCCCTTCCCCGCCCTCTCCCGCAAGCAAAGCCCCCACCGAGGACACTCACGTTCCCAGCTCCGACGGCTTGTTGCGGAGCTGCTCAATCAGCTCTCTGTAACTGGGATCGCTGAGCAGGTTCCGGGTGCGAGGGTCGCTCTCCAGCTTCTGGTAGAGGTTGGGCATGTTGAAAGGGTTCATGAGGTTCCGTTCTGGAAGAGGATCCCCAAGGGGAAGAGGAGGAGAGAGGAAGGAGTCAGGGCCCCTTACTTTGGGTGTGTGTGTGCGTGGGTGTGTGTGTGTCTCCCCCATCTCATCCGACTCCTATTTATGACGGTCGCAGGGGTCTCCTTTGGTGACCTTCTGACAAGCAGAGTGAACAAGGGAGCCACTTTCAACAACCGCGTGGCAGGTAGTCCTCGACTTCCAACGGCTCCTTTAGCAGCCGTTCGAAGTTACAACAGCAACCGAAGTGGATGTGTGACCGTTTTTCGCATCGACAACTCCAACGGAGGATCCCTGTAACCCCGCGATCCAAATTCAGACGCCCGGCAACCGGCTCACATTCACGACGGGCTGCAGTGTCCCCAGAGTCGTGGGATCCCATTTGGGGAACTTTCCGACAAGTCAAGAAGAAGCCAGGTTCATTTTAACCGTGTTGCTAACTTAACAACTGGCGGGGATCCTCTTAACGACGATGGCAAGAAAGGTCATCAAATGGGGCAGAACTCAACACTTGTGCTTCACTGAATCTTTAGGCTCAAACGTGATCGTAAGCCGAGTGCTTGTTGTACCGGATCTTTCATGACTATCTACCACATCATCATCATCATCATCAAACGATCACATCATCCCTTGCAGGGGTGGAGTCCAGGCAAGTGAATGGAGCTGAGTGTTTTACTGGCCGGACGCCCTTCCTGTCGCCGATGCGGAGTTTAGTTCGGCAGATAAATTCTCAGTGGGCCCAGAGAGAGAAACGCCTGCCTCTACCTAGGATCAAACTCACGCAGCCTCCTGACGGTGAGGCCAGAGCTCCACCTCCAGGCCACCGCACCACTCCCATAGCTATCTACCACATATCTGTTTTTTTGATTCAATCCTTTACGTGGACCCCCAGCTAGTTTTGGGGATAATCAATAATGTGTACCCGCCCTCTTTCGTCATGGAAAGGTTGCACAGCCCTGGTTTGGCCTGCTTTTCCAAAGAGACAGGCCGTATCTATTCCAGATTGCGGCAATGGGAATGTAACACCAGCCAAGTCAGGGAGAGAAACCACACACCCCACTCACCTGCCAGCCTGGACTCCATATTTTGCAGGCCTTCCTTCAGCTGGGCATTGGCCGGCTCGTGTTTCAGTCCTTCTGCGTACGTCTTCTTAGCTTCCTCAAAACGGTTCAGGAATTCCAAGGCCGCTGCTTTTCGGGAGTAGCCCTGCAAAGAGCACGGAGGGACGGATCAGAGACAAATCCAAGAGAAACCAGACACCCCCCCCCCCCGGTCATGAAATCCACAGCTGTCGTGCAAACCACCCAGTTTTGTTCAGCATTTTTAAACTGTGGGGGGGATTTGGGGGCAGCGTTGGAAATAAAAGGCTGGCTTGCGGCAAAAGCACTGCAAATGAGACTGCTGTTTTAAGTGACCAAAGGGACAGAGAGGTCAGAACTTCAGGCCTGGGTTGCAAGTACAGCTAGTCCTTGACTTACGACCACAAGGGAGAATTTTTGTTGCTGAGTGAGACAGTTGAGTTTTGCCCCGTCTATTATAGCTCTGGCCACAGTTGTCAAAGGGAATCAACTGCGGTTGTGAAATTAGTCACCTGGTTTTGTGAAAAACGGCCGTAAATCACTTTTCCCAGGGCTGTTATGACTTTGAATGGCCACTAAAAAAAAAACTGTTAAGTCCAGGAGGACCTGCGCTCGTCCTTTCCCACGGCACCAAAAGGAAGAGGTTTCAAAAGCACACCTGGCCCACCCTCTTCTCACCTTTCCCCATTCGGGCTTCAGCTCGATGGTCTTGCAAGCGTCTTCCAGGGCCTTGTGGTAGTCTCCCTTTTTGGCATAGGCAGCAGAGCGATTGCTGTAGAGCACATGGTTGGCAGAGTCCACCTTGATGGCCTCAGAGTAGTGCTTGATGGCTTCGGCGGTGTTGCCGGAGCTGAGGGCCTTGTTACCTTTCTCCTTCAGTTCGTTCACCTGGCGGGAGAGAGAAGAGCAGAGAGAAGACATTAAACCTGGAAAAAATTTTCCCTAAAGTTCTAAGGGAATATGTATGCGCAAAATACCACTCACGCATCATCACAAAATCTCCAGAACCGTAAAGCCTACAAATTTGAAATTTAGCACGTATGTTCCTCTTGGCTTCTAGGTGCTCATTAAGAAAGGATTTTTCCAAATGACCACCAGAGCTATTAGTATTTCCTATATTATTATTATTAACGCGCTCTGATGCTAAGGAGTTCTACTCCCCCTCCCCACCTGAAAAGAAATCTCTTCCAAATGCAAAACACAAGCAGAGGAGAGGAGGTTCAGTTTCAGAGCACCAAGCAGCTTTAGTACAGAACAGTTGAGCTAAGCCAGGCTCCTTGCTGTCTTCTTGCTCACACAGCAAATATGGTTTTGGTTTCCAAACAGCCCTCAACTCTTTCACACACTGACAGGACGCTAGCCAGACGAATACCGATGGATACCGGTAGGCAGAGACAGAATTCTCCCCCCCCCTTGATTTCCCTCCCCAAAAACTAAGGCCAACCACATAGTTTCGTAGCCAAGCACGGGTATCGAGCTAGTATCTTATACAATACAGCCCTTGTTAAGCCTTTAACAGCCACAGCACACCTAAAATCGAGTTCAAGTGAATTGTGTATTATGAGATGGCCTAGGGAGGCAACCTTGGCTTTGCTCGTGGAATTAAAACAAAAACCAAAAAACTCTAGCCCTCCAGATGTTGTTAAATTATCGCTCCTTTAATAGCTGGCTGTGCTAGCTGGGCACTGAAATTCATCTCTTGCTTTGAATAAAGCCCTGGAAGAACCAGTGCTGCCAAGAGGCACCGAATCCTTCATTTTGGTAAGACGTCCGGGATCTTGGTTCATTTAGTTCATGTAGTGACTGAAGTTACGATGGCACTGGAAAAGGTGACTTATCCTTATGTCCATATTTATGACCGTTGCAACATCACGTGGTCAAAATCCACACCTGCTTGGCAACCGGCTCATATTTACGACGGTTGCAGTTGCGCCGGGGGATCACGCAATCGTCTTTCGAGACCTTCCGACATTGGAGGGGAAAGCCAGATTCACAACCGTGTGTCCAACTTAACAGCAATGATTCCCTTAACAACAGTGGCAAGGAGGGTTGTAAAACGAGGCAACATCCACTTAACTACCTTGCTTAACAGACAGTGGTTGTAAACCGAGGACTGCCACGAGGGCAGAAAAATCACATTCAGATATCTTGTTATCTGTGCGCAGTAGTCACGTTCCCTTCTTCCCTTCAAGAAAAGGAGCCAGGGATCAGATGGAAGGGCCAACCTGCACCCAACTATTGAGCATCCATCACCTGTTCATGGACACCCAAGGACCCCGAAAGCGAGCGTTTGCAGCTCACCTTGTGTCTGGAACCGCGACGTAAGTCACAGGACCAGATCCCTACCGCATCCTCACATTCTCCCCCAGAGGAAACGGCGACCCAGAGGGAGCTTCCTCTGAGTCACAGCTCCTCCGTTCAGCTGGGGAACAGCAGCAGCTGAAATTACAGATGGCCCAGAATAACCCACCCTTTTCGAGCCGTGACAAAATGTCACCCAGGCTCTCCCTGCAAGACTCCCGGGTGCCTCTTACCTCCGTGTTTTAGCTATGTGGGGAAACGAGTTTTTAAATTTAAAAAAAAAAAAAAGGTGAAGGAGGCAAGACAATACAAGCGTTGGAAGATACCCATCACCCCGGCCCTGTTTGGGACGGGAGCAAGGAAGTACAAAAGGCCCAGAGGCTCAGCCATGGAATTGGACCCCGGCCAGGTTGCTATGGTGTAAACCCTGACACAATCACAGCTACACCTGCCCAGGCTGCCTTACATTACAGGTCTGTTCTGTTGTTGTTTTTTTCCCCTCATTTTCCTGCTCGGAAATCAGCTTGTTCCGGTTTCTGGCATCTTGACTTAAAAAGGCCAATTGCTTCCTCCGTTCATGTTCACACCCGGGCAAGAGTGCAATTAGGACGGGAGGAAAGTTTTAATTAGTAGCAAAAGGTCAGAGGGGGGGGACAGCACAGCTCTGAGTTAAGCTTGACCCCAAAAGACGACACGTTTTTGCACGCCAAAGGTCCCAGGTCCACAGGTTTAGCCAAGAGCTTTTTTTTTTTTTTTCAATAGAGGGAACTCTGCAGGAAGAGAGCAACCTGCTGTTTGCAATTACCCTGATTCACACACAGTGCTGAGTCAGAGTTTAATAATAGTTTATCGAATAAACCACGACTGGCTTAGCGCACCCAAAACCAGGATGCCGCGATGATAAGGGCATGATTTATGCCATTGAAAGGAGAATATTGGTAGCTCAGGGTTGAAATTAGGGGTCCTTGGGTGCTTGCTTTTCTTGCAAACGTCTCATGACCCAACTAGGTAACATCATCAGCGCTAGTAGAGTGGGGTTTGCTCTCAATTTTATGGTCCAGTGATCTAGTGTTGGTGGGGGTGACAGCCTTAGGGGTTCTCAGTTGATCCCTGAACAAGCCAACCGTGCACAGCCCAAGCAAAGAACCTTTTAAGACCACCCTGCCCCAATACCGGCAGGGCAAGCCACTACAATATAAACTGAGAGCAAACCCCACTCCCTTCTAGTGCTGATGATGTTACCTAGTTGGGTCATGAAATGTCTGCAAGAAACCCACCAAGCTCAGAGAGCAGCAAGAACCCCCGCCCCCCAGTTGTCCTCAGCTCTTGAAACCCTACTCCCTTCTAGCACTGATGTTGTTAACCAGTTAGGTCATGAAACATCTGCAGGAAAACCACCAAGCTCAGAGAGCACCAAGGACCCCACAGTCCTCCTCCCCACTTTTTTCTAGCACTGGTGATGTTCCCTAGTTGGGTCATGAAACGTCTGCAAGAAACCCACCAAGCTCAGAGAGAGAGCCAAGGACCCCCCTCCTTTTGGGCACCGCTAAACCCAGGCTGAGCTCAACTTAGCCAGATGTGCAAACCCAACACCTCCGTCAGATGGTCGCTCAGGCAAAGGTCTCTGCACATTCTGGAAGCAACCCTACTAAAATAATCCAGAGAAGTGAGAGGCTGCACATGTGTCCCAAACGGGGACCTCCTGATCCCTGATCCAGGAAGAGTTTGATAGCAAGGTCTTCCCTCCATTGATACCGAACATGCTGCAACGTGCAAAGTTAGGCTTGGCCCCTCTCTTCTTTTTCGTAAACAGCTTCAAAGAGCCAAGAGGTTGCACCAAGCCTCTGCTTGAGCAGCTTTGCTGGAGAGGCAAGCATTTAACATTCAAAGCACCTTTCTGCCCAAACGGCGGCACCAGATCGTAGAAACTGTCTTTGCACATCAGAACGGCAGCCTGCTAAGGCCCACGGACCAAGATGGGAACTGTGACAGAAAAACTGCTTTGGGTGGGACCCGTGTCTCTAAAATTCACTTAGAAAAATTGGAAAGTGCTTGCAAGGAAGGTGGAATTCCAGAACGAAGAGCAGGATCCCCAGAAACCTGAGCAAACTTGTCCAAAATTTGAGATGCAGTCAGCGCAGTAAACATCCCCCAAGCAGAATCAACCCCCCCCCTCCCCAATACACACACACACACTTTGTCAATCAGAACCCACAACATCCACAGGTCTAAATCCCCATCAGATAAAACAGATCACCTGTAAACACAGCCTTAAACCTAAAGCCTGTTCTAGGCCAGCTTTTCCAGCTGGCTATCTGGAGCTTGTGGCTCCCCCCTCAGTCTGAGAATAGCCCGGCTGGGGATGATGGGAGCTGTAGCCCAGTCTACAAAAAGCACGGGACCGAAGCTGGCTCCCGTCGGATCTCACCTCAACATGGTGGTTGCCCAGCTCTTAAGAGCGGACAAGACAAAGCCATGAAGCCTAAGAAGGTTCAAAAGGGATTATCAGTGT